TTATAAAGAATATCTCTTTGGATTTGAGACTTTAGTCTTTGCAACTTTACAGATCTTCTTTATGCACCAAGAGCTTGTAACACTCCAAAGAGAAAGGAAAAATTGAAATCGCATCATATGACCCATTTAATACTGGTGGCCTTAGTTTCATATTTAAGTATATAAATCATATGTAATAATTGTATAAATGATCTAATTGCGTTATTTATGCAATTGCAAATGCATTAAATGCATAGTTCACCCAAAAAGGAAAATTCAGTCATTAGTTATTCACCCTCATGTCATTCCAAAGCCCTAAGACCTTCATCTTCGCAACACAAATTAAGATATTTTTGATGAAATCCCAGAGCTCACAGACCCTGCATAGACAGCAACGCAACTGCAATGTTCCCAGTCCCAGAAACGTAGCAAGGACATCGTTAAAATAATCCATGTGACATCAGTGGTTCAGCCGTAATTTTACGAAACTACGAAAATACTTTTTGTGCACAAAGAAAACAAAAAAAATGACTTTATTTAACAATTCTTCTCCTCATCCTGTCTGCCGCGGAGTGCCGCCATTTTGAAGAGTATCACGACCCATGCGTGTTTCCGTCATTATCGCGAACGATTTCAGAATCGCGCAATAAAATCGTCTGCTATTTTTATTTTTTATTTTTTATTTTTTTGCGTAACTTGTCAGTGAACTACGGCAATGTGTAGTAAATGCTGCTCCATCTGAAAGCACATGATGATGATTTACTGCTGTTTACAGAACCAGCTTTACTAACAAAATGCGCATGACAATCGCATTCGATTAATCGTGCAGCCCTAAGGGTAACCCAAGTAAAAACGTTTCCAAATGCTTTGGTTTTATAAAATCCATTACTTCTATTATAATCCACTTGTCAGTGAACTACGGCTCTGTGTAGTGAATGCTGCTCCATCTGAAAGCACGTGATGATGATTTCATGCTGATTACAGAACTGGCTTTTTTAACAAAATGCGCATGACAATCGCATTCGATTAATCGTGCAGCCCTAATCCAGATTACATGTAATCAGTTACTACCTAGCACTGTCGCTCTCTGCAACATTGTCCACTTAACGGTAATTGATATCATTAGCCTTTGGATTGACTGTTATCATTCAGCTAATAATGTGTTACTAATGTTCGCCATCTCAGACAGCTGTCTTCTAATAATAAATCAACATCCTTATGTAGAAACACTTTGATAATGATATGAAAAGCACCGCTTTGCAATTTGACAGGATTTGATACATGAAACAGGAGCTGTTTCAAGTCTTATTTTTGAAAGAAAAGAACAGTTTTATAGAAAGAAATGCTCAGCAATGGTGTCGACTGATGAATTCGCATATGGTTTTTCTTTAAGCATTTTAACAACAACAGATAGACATGTAAACAATATTAAAACTTGATTTTCACAATGTTAATTTACTCTTTGATACACTGTTTTCCTGTTCTCTTTTTTTATGTCCCAGGTGTGTTTCTTTGTAGCTCTGTATTATAACGTCATAATCGGTTGGAGTATTTTTTACTTGGGAAGTTCTTTCAAGTATCGTCTACCTTGGGAGACCTGTCCAACAGAAGGGAACGGCACCGGTAAGGATTAGGAGTTTGTGTAGTGCATTATAAAATGAGTAGTTTTCACTTGTGAGATTAGATATGAAGAACTGATGCCAGAAATCTGACTTTTTACGTGGAGATGCATTGTCTTATTTTCACTCACAGTGAAGGAATGTGCCGCCAGCTCTCCCACAGAATATTTCTGGTACCGTAAAGCTCTGGATATCACCGATTCCATTGACGAAACCGGAGAGTTCAACCCCATCATCACTGGATGTCTGCTGGCCGCTTGGGTCATCGTCTGTCTGGCCATGTATAAGGGCATCAAATCGACCGGAAAGGTACTTGGAGTTTGTGTTTGTGTCATGAATGTGAATATATATATATATATATATATATATATGTGATGTTTATTTTGTGTTGTAATGTGATTATTGATGATATTAATCAGTATTGGTTGTGTGTAGGTGATGTATTTCTCCTCCGTGTTTCCGTACGTGGTGCTGCTGTGTTTCCTGATCAGAGGCGTGACACTGGATGGGGCGTCCGAGGGCATTAAATTCATGTTTTACCCCAGGGTACGTAAACAAACACTTAACTGTGTTTGAGTTGGAGATTTATATATTGAAGATTACCGTAGTCCATAAAAACAATCACCAAAATGGTGTCTTCTCTATGTGTCGTGTTATTTACCTAAAAATCAGTGTTGTTTAGTATTATTTATATAGTAATATATACGTTTTTTTTTTATGTTTTCAATTTTTTCAATTTTAGTAATTGTGCTTTCATAATTTTTATTAGTTTTTTTTATATTTCTGTTTAGCTTTAATTTTTTTTATTCCAGTTTTAGTATTTCAAGAAAAACATTTATATTAGTTGACAAGCCAACATTTTTATTGTAAGTTTTTCATCTGATATATATATATATATATATATATATATATATATATTATTTTAATTCAGTAAAAAAAAACTGAAATTTTTAATAGTTTTAGTTAACAATAACAACACTGCTTAAAATGAACTAGTTCTTCTTGTTCTTAATGTATTATCATGTGACATGTTTAGTGTAGTATGTTAGTGAGTTTAAAGTAAATGTTTGTTGTGGTTGATTCTCTCAGCTGGAGATCTGGGCTGACGTTCAGGTGTGGCGTCAGGCGGCGACTCAGGTGTTCTTCGCTCTGGGTTTGGGTTTCGGTTCTGTGATCGCGTACTCTTCCTACAACCCGCGGAACAACAACTGCCATCGAGACGCGTTCACCGTGTCTGGAGTCAATTTAATGACGTCCGTTCTGGCCACGCTAGTGGTGTTTGCCGTGCTGGGCTTCAGAGCCAAAACCATCGCCACAGAGTGTGTTAAACGGTCAGTATGCAGCTCAACAAATCAGAATGATCTGTGAATGTTTGATCTTAAAATGCATTATAATGCCTCATGTATATAAGTATATTTTACTGAAGCTTTAAGATGTTTAGCTGTTTGTTTGTGTATGTTGCAGTAACATGAAGGCCGCGTTTGAAGCGTTGTCCAGCACTCCTTTCCCTGACCTCCTCATCAATGCGTCAGATGTGGAGAACATGACATTGAACGAGTATGAGCACTGGTACAGGACTCGGGGCCAGCAGCTGAATATCTCTGGTTACAACATCACCGCCTGCAGCCTGGAGGAGGAGCTGAAACAAGTACAGAACACAACTACATGTTTTATCTTTTCTGAACAAAACATGAGTGGTGCAAATTTTTTTATGCAATTAGCTACATTGCTTGATGTTTTAGGTGGTTGCTAGGGTATTGCTGAAATATTTTGGCTGGTTGCTAGGGTATTATTGGAATGTTTTGGGTGGTTGTTATTAGTGTTGTCCGACCCTAAAAGTACTGACCGCGATATCATTCAGTACTGAAATTTTGAGAGCCGCGTCTATCAGCTGATCCATCACCGTCAGCGGTGCTATATTTGCACATAGACGGATCAGCTGATAGATGCGGCTCGCAAACTCTCTCAAACTCTGCTTTGGGTGGTTGCTGGGGTATTGCTTTGTTTTGAGTGGTTGCTAGGTTATTTGAATATTTTGGGTGGTACTAGGGTATAATTAGAATGTTTTGGGTGGTTGTTAGGTTATTGGAATGTTTTGGGTGGTTGCTAGGGCATCATTGGAATGTTTTGGGTGGTTGCTAGGGCATAATTGGAATGTTATTGGAATGTTGCTATGTCTAAGAAAAGTCATGGCAATGAATAAATCTGTAGTTCTGCTCAGTTCGGCAGTATTTCTTTGGTTAGGAGTGACTCCGATGAATGTTTAAGTTAAAGTTTGCGATCTTCTTTCTCTCTCAGGGTGTGGAGGGAACCGGTCTAGCGTTCATAGCGTTCACTGAAGCCATGACGTTGTTTCCTGGGAGTCCGTTCTGGTCGGCGCTGTTCTTTCTCATGCTGCTCAATCTGGGTTTGTCCACCATGTTCGGCACTATGGCAGGAATACTGACCCCGCTGACGGACACCTTTAAGACCCTGCGTAACCACAAATTCCTCTTTACAGGTAACCCTGTTGGGTTTTTTTATATTTGGGTTTATTTTAAAAAGCTCTTGTTTAGGTTTTGTCTGTCTCTTGGTTTTAATCAGTATTGTTGTTTTGTGTGTCTGTCTGATTATGTTGTCTTTTTCCCCATCTCTCCCAGCGTGCAGCTGTGCGGTGGGCTTTCTGATCGGTCTCATGTTCACTCAGCGCTGTGGAAACTATTTTGTGGCTATGTTTGATGACTATTCTGCCACACTTCCCCTCATCATCGTCGTCATCTTCCAGACCTTCAGCGTGGCCTGGGTTTATGGAGCGGACAGGTATCACAAACCCTCCGAGCTCAAGCAGAAATGTTTTTTTTTAATGGTTTGAAGTGCATAAACGTGATGTATTTTCAATGCAGGTTTTTGGAGGACCTGAAGCTGATGTTGGATCGGCCGGTTCCTGTGGTGTACAAGTACATGTGGAAGTACGTGTGTCCGGTTGCTATGCTGGGGCTCTTGGGTGCCAGTCTGCTAAAGATGATCTTGGAGCGTCCCACATACATCGCCTGGAACAGAGAAAAGGTAAAATCATGTGTGCTCTTACAAACAAACCTTTACTTTAAACTTCTAAAGCCTACTGTATCATGTAGTGTTGTCAAAAGTACCGACTTCGGTATCAGTCGGTACTGAAATTTTAAAAATGTCCATTTCCCACAAACATTTGAGCACTGTTGAGCTGATTCTTAACCATCGCTGACTGGCCAATGTGTTCACGCGCTCAACAGATATGACTGTGATTGGCTAAAATGATCATCACTCGGTGCTCTCCACCAAGGCCTCTAAATGATCAACATGATCAAAGCATCGCTGATTACTTGTTGCACACAATCTCCTACAAGCCTTCTGTGGCCTGATTGATAGTTTAGACTTTTTCTGAGCATGTAAAAGGCCTTTTACTATAATTGTACAAATATCCACCTTCAGCTGGTGCTCCACGTGTCTTTCTGCTGTCAAATCTGATGATTTTATGAAGTAAACGTCTGAATAACTTTATTATTATTTCCAGTTGAACACTTTCTGGACTGAATCAGCTTGGCTTTACTTGATTCTCCATTAATTAATTTTTATTTTTTATTTTTTTATTTTTTGAAAAATAAATGCGTCTGAAATCTGACCATCAGGATCTTTTAAGGAATTAATGTTTGTTTCCAGAAGCTTTACTTTCACTGTTCCTCAGCGGAGGAATGATCTTCACAAGCCTCCAGAACATCTCACATCTTTAGAGAAACTTTTATTTGTTCATCTCTCAATCATCATTGGATTGCATTGCATTATATGTTTGGAGCATATCAATCTCATTTTACTAAGACATATTGACTGACATTTATAGAATTTGATGTAGTCTGTGGTCTGTTATAAATAGTCTGTTATAAAGATCTCATTCATTTACATTACAAGCTATCAGAATTTCATCTTAATTTTTGGCCATAAAAATATCAGCAAGTGCACCAAATTGCATATTTTTGAGCTGTTTTTCCTCCATATTCTATATTCATCATATTATAGTAATCATAAAAGACTGTAACAAATATGGAAAACATTTTTTTTCCAAAATGTTCAATGAACGGTTCCTTTTATTTATTTATTTATTTTTAATTTTCCAGGGTTAGTTAACATTAATATACATATTTCCAACATTTTCTCCCAGGCGTCTAAGGAAGATCTACCTTATCCAGGCTGGGCTCTTGCTGTCCTGAGCATGCTCATCGTTGTCGCATTTCTTCCTGTTCCTATTGGATTCATACATTCCCTCCTCCTGGAACGGCTCGGCCAGTCTCCGGCAGACGCTGAGGCCGGATACATGCCGTGTGCCACCACAGACACAGACCAGACCCCTCTCGACACGTTACCACCCTCAGCAGGCGACCCCAGTTCATTTTCCCCTTTGCTTGAGGAAAACCAAGACACTCATTTGCAGAACGGCCACATTGAACACTTCCAATCAAGTGCGGTATGAGAAGAAACTACGGCACAACCTTCGTTAGAGTTTACAAACATCTCAGAAGGATCTATTTAAATCAAGACCATTTTATGAGCGTGCTTTGCTGTTGGGAACAATCATTTTTTATCTGTGCATACGGGCACTAAAATAACTGTTTTTAAAGTCTTAGTTCATCCCAAAAAAGAAAATTGTCACCAGCGTCACTCTAAACATCACGAAGAGCCTTCTGGAGTTATTTAGCCGCTTGTGCAGGCTGCTCTTTTCCATATATAACAGTAGTTTCACATTATATTCCAAGCCTTTGTGAAAATCTTGGCTTCTCAAACTCCCCGTTTAAACCCGTTACATGTGAAAACAGCTGTGATATGCGGCTGTAATAACAGCTTTGATGACCATTTCCTTTTTCGAGTGAACTGTGGCTTTAAGTACAGTGTAATAATGTACCTGCGTTTGGTGGGTCCAGGTGAGCGTTGAACAACAATGCAACACTACAGTTACCTGTTACAACGGTCTAATCATTTGGTAACTGACGGTTCTGCTGCTTTAGTGATCTGACGAGGTTTTTATATCATGTTTTGCATAAAGGTGTTGATAATGGCTTTGACCTGTCGGTGTTATTTGAACTCCAGGATGCTAAAGAAGCAGCCAGTGCTTCGTCTCCGTTGATGTCATTAACCCTTTGATGCATGAATCAAGTCACATAGGTAAAGAAAAGAAAATCATTCCAAATCATTTTTTCTCCCAAAATGGTAATTTAGTTTGCTTGGTGCATCAATACTTTGTTGTCATAAATAAAAACACATTGACATATCAAGAGGACAGCTGGTTTGACTTGTGTAAGGGTCAAACTGTATAATGGCTACTATAGCATCAAAGGGTTAATGTTGGTCCATTCTGATGTGTTCAGTGTAATTATTTAAGTAAATACAAAAAGATACATTGTGTGTTCAAAAGACGTTTTGAACCATTAAATCATCACCCATAACTGATTAATGGAAAGCTCTATGTGTATTTTCCGAACAGACATGTCTGGGTCGTATTTCATCTTAATAGTCTTCAACGCAGATTTAATTGTTTATGCCAAATATGACATGGACATTTCTTTATTTATTTTTCGTAACATTCTATGCTCTTATTTTTTGAGCACCGACTACAACCATCATTTAATAAAAAATAATGCTTCCAGTCGTAGTTTGTATGTGACACACATGGGATTTCTTATGAAGTATTTCAAGGCAGCATTTTCAGAACAATTTTACAGTTGTTACTATTAATTTTATATTGTACAGAATTATTTTTGTGGCTATTTGTAAAATATCCTCCCTTTTTATTTTTCCAAACGACGTCTCGGATATGTTTTTACAAGCGAATGTGTGACCCGCAGGCCAGACATTTTATGGCTTATAGTCATTGTGAAGTCCTGTTATCTTTGCCTCTCACAGGGGTTTGATGGGTCTTCTGTGTTTGTTCAGTAGCTTGAACTCGAAGTAGTTCTGGTCAGTAATATATATATGATGAAATGATGTAATTTAACTCTATTCCTCATGTAGAATCCTTGCGATATCTCTGATCTTGAAGGCTCATTTGATTGTCTTTGTTGTATATGTTCCACGCTACAGTATGTTTTCAGTATTTCCTCGATTCTGAGGTCTTCAGTGTGTGTGAATGTTGTTTGATGGTCATGCTGTGCAGCCGTACACACATTTTGTACAGTTTGCCTCGTGATGATCTTGTTTCTGTATAAATGGTTGTGTGACCCCCTCATATGACTTTTGTTTTCTTTTTCTGTATAAAGGTGAATCTTGTCTGGGTTGCAAACATCTGGCTTATTTTATTTATTTACTTTTTGCATTGTTTTCCTGTAAAAAAAAAACAAAAAACTTTATCACTCATGGTATTTGGCTATTTGCTTTAGAGTTTTAATACTTGAATGTTTGATTTACAGTTATATAAATCATTATTGACACTGAAATGTACAAAAAAAATACTTAATTGTTTATGATACATTTTATGATCAAAAAAGAAAAGAAGAGACTTGGTTTGGTTTTGGGGTGAAATGGACATTATTTCTATTAAGAGGCCCAGATTAAGAGTGTATCTGCCCAGTTGGACATTACCATTGATTGACTGATTGATTTTAAATATTTTAAAAAAATCTTTTTTTTATTTTAATTAAATGTTAGGTTTTTTCCCCTTTAAAAGTAAAATTTCAATTAAAAAATTTCAATTTGTAAATATTCAAATTTAAAATCTGGAAAATGTGCAAATATGTGTGTGTGTGTATAGTTTATTTACACAGAGCTTTACTTTTTTTTTTTTTTTTTGATGATTTAAAGTCCTGATGCTGCTGTTTTGTGCTGGTTGTCACGTGTGTGTCCTGGGACTCTGGTTGTCATGGTGTGAAGCTCCACCTTGGAAAGAGACGATCCACAAACAAAGTGATGCTCAGCGCAGCTGAAAGACAAATCACTGGAGGAGAAAACTTCCTAGAAACGGAGATCAGGTATGTGGAAAAAATGTTTAAATCAGAATGATTTGAAGTCTTTAGTTTGTTGTGTTCACCTGCTGTACCTGAGCTCTGGGTCTTGTGTTCAACCCTGAAGTGTGATGCATTTATTATCGAATTGGTCAGAATGTCAACATGAGAAATGCTTTCAAGCATATAAACCTGCCGCTGAAGTACTGCATCCATGAGCTCTGATTCACAGTGATTCTCAATGCACCAGTTTGATTATACGTAATTAATATTAAGAACATGCTTTGGTCTGCATATGATCCAGGTTTAGAACTGATTGTTTCTTGTCTTAATATAAATTTCATATCAAGAGAAATAATATCTGACCCTGGAGCACAAAACCAGTCACAAGGGTCAATTTTTCAAAAGTGAGATGTATACATAATCTGAAAGCTGAATAAATGAGCTTTCCATTGATGTGTGGTTCAATATTAGGACAATATTTGGCCGAGATACAACTATTAATCTGGAATCTGAGGGTGCAAAAAAATCCAAATATTGAGAAAATCTCCTTTAAAGTTGTCCAAATGAAGTTCTTAGCAATGCATATTACTTATCAAAAATTAAGTTTTGATATATTTACAGTAGGACATTTACAAAATATCTTCATGGAACATGATCTTTACTTAATATCCTAATGATTTTTTTGCATAAAAGAAAAATCAGTAATTTTGACCCATACAATGTATTGTTGGCTATTGCTACAAATATACCCGTGCTACTTATGACTGCTTTTGTGCTCCAGGGTCACACACGTTTAGCCTATTTGTGATACGTTTAGTCTATATTTTGGTCTAATTTGAACTGAAAGTAAAGTGTCTATAACATTAATGACACATAAGTTGTGTGCATAATTCATAAAATAGACAGGAATTATTTTTTTTTACAAAAAATGTTTGAATAGTGACTTCTTAAATATATTTAAATTTTACCCCAAATCTTTTATTTTATTTTACTGCCATGCAGAGAATTTATTCTGACATGCAATTTTTTTTTTTTTAAATCAAAAACATTCACAGCATTTTTCTCATGTTCATCCCAATCCCAGGCAGCTGTATATGATGGGCCCTTTCTAAATATAAGGTCACATGACACCAAGGGCATAGAATTTAGTAGGGAATAATAATTATATGTAACCACTGAGTTATGTGAATGTTGGGGTAGTTGGATGTTGTCTGCTGTTGTCTCCACCAATGTCAAAATCAAACCTATGTGTTTGATGGATTGAATGACGCGTCTTAACACAATCTCTCCTATTTGAGAGAGTCTTTTTTTTGGACAGTTGTAGGTTTCTGAATGTAATTTTTTGTGTGTATTTGTATTTATTTCTGTATAAGATCCAAAGCACAGATCACAGCCTGCTGTTAAAGAGGAAAACTGCATGGTTTAGGCTGAATATATAGTCAGCAGTTTTTGTTTTTAAATTTTATTATTTTATAAATATTTTTATTTAGCTTTTATTTATTTTATTCATTCATTCATTTATTTAGTTTCAGTTTTAGTCATTTTAGCAGATGCCAATGCAGCATTTTTAATTTTCATTGACGTATTTCATCTAATATATATATTTTTTATAACTTTATTTTATTTCAGTTTATAAATATTTTAAGTTTTACTAGTTTATACCTTAAACTAGTTTGAGTTTTAGTTAACAATAACAACACTGGTAGTAAATAATCATGTATTTCCGAGTCATTATGTGAGCTACTGAAGGAAAGGAAGTCTCAGAGGAGGAGGATGAAAAGATGAGTGCAGTTCAGCTCACAGCCACTAGAGGACACCGAGAGTCTGCTGGATCAGAAACTCAGGACCAGTTATTCTTACTAGTGCTGTCAAACGATTAATCGCATCCAAAATAAAATATATTTAATATATAAACAACATATTTGTCTGAAATGCATACATACATGCATGTGTGTGTATTTATATATATATACATAATAAATATACACAGTACACATACATATGTAAACAAAAACATTTATTTTGGATGCGATTAATCGTTTAACAGCAATAATTCTTACACATTTGTTTGTTGTAACAGTTCTCTCTGTTTGCAGTATGTTGAAGTGGACGCTGTTGGTGGTGTGTGTGAGTGTGTGTTTGGGTCAGAATCCGATCAACACTGACCCAGCAGAAGAAACTGAACTGACCTCTGATCAGCACGACCGTGTCACACTCAAACAGACCTGTAAGACACACGCACACACACAC